GCAAGAGCCAAAGCGAAGAGGGAACAAAGCCACCTGTCACACTGCTCCTGCCACTCTCCCGCCTGTCGACAGCATCAGGGTCATTCTGAAAGCCCTTTGTACAGTAAACCATTTGTTTCTTATAAATGCATGTTTAGATGTCGGGGAAAGTGACATCTATTTTCCAAAAAAAAAAAAAAAAACCCACAGAGTAGCATATCCCCTGTCATCCTACCATGCAGGCAACAGCTGCGGAGAAAATAGAATATTTTAAATAAGTTAGCAAAACAGCAGCCCCCTGGGGACCCTGGCTCCGCCTTAAGTATGTTAAACAAAGCACCTTAAAAGGGCTGAGTTTTATATACATGTAAGTTGTTTAATTCCCAAGGACACTCTTCTCCCCATCGAGAATGTGTGCCTGTGTGGTTTTTTTTTTCCTTTCTCAAGAACTTTTCTTTATGGAAGGTTTGTGTGTCGGTTCAGCGGAAATTATACGGCATCTTTTCTTCAAACAGAGCTGCATTAATGTGCCAATGCCCTTTCTTTAATGCACTTTAAAATTCTGACGCGCCTTTTAAAAAGTATGAGTTGTGTTGGGAAAGTCTAATCACCGTTCTGCATGAACGGGAATGTGCTATTTTTGCAAGGGGAGTGCTGGGAGTCGGGTTTGTAGCAGAAGGGTGTCTCTATAGTACAGATGTCCGAAGACACTGGTGCGTTTTGTTGCCCAAATCAACCCGCTAGAAATGTTACTTCTGCCAAAATTAGTCAGAGGAACTTCAACTCATCATCATTTGAGCAATTTGGGACCGAGCAACTCTGAAGACTGCAGGGAATATTTAGAATTCATTCTGCAGAAACTCAGCTTGGAGGGCAAACTTTCTTTTGCACTCCAGAGCGTGTATCTATTTCGCAAGATTATGCTGTGTGCCTGTAATGACTTCATACAGATTTTTTAGAAGTCTCTTGGGAGCCCATCGTTTTGGTTTGCTGATCTACTCCATTTTCCTTTCTTCTCTCTCCCCGCCGCCTCTCTCTGGCTCTTTCCCCATTCCAATCAGTATGTCCTTTTGAAAAATGTTTTGTGGAGGTTGAAGTTCCAAGGACATCACTTTCCCTCTTTGAATAAAATGTGCCCTCTTGTTTGAAAGCAAACTGCCTGTGCCCTGACTGAAACATCAAAAAAACGGGAAATATACCCAGTGCACTCAGGCAAAATTGGTGTGTAAGTCTCTTGGAAATGTCTAGTAACAGGTGCAGTCAGATAGGCTGGCAAAGCATTCTGGTTTCATAACAATTACTAATAAGAAAATAAACGTTAGGTATGCATTATTTAAAATATTTTGTGGGTTTTTTCCTACTAAAGAAACCCCCAAACTGATCTGGTAAACAATTCTATAGCGTTCAAAACCATAATAATAATAAAAAAAGAAGCCATCCGACTCCATCTCTCCCAGCTTAAGCTCTCTTCTTTCTATTTTAGTGAAATTTGCATGTAGATGTTTGTTCGTACAGAAAGAAAATACATGCAGCTTTTTACCCAAATCTTTGAAAATCCGTGTTATCCATCATGTCGGTAGGAGATTCTTAGAACTGTGGCTTTGATGATTATACAATCATATTTATTACATGCCTTCCATATCCTCAAGGAATGTCAGTTGTCACAAACCAGTAGGCATGCATACATATTTCCCTTTTTAGTAAAAGGAAATGTTTGCCAATTATTTAGAGATTTTGGGGTTTCTATGAATAAGGGTTCTAGACAGTCTTAGGACTGGCTCAAATGCACTTTGGTAAGAAAAGCTGCTTGCTGTATTTGGAGATTTCAAAAACAAAGCATTAATTAAGAAATTCTGACTTAATTTGCCTGCATGCAGTCAGAAACATACCTACGTATGTGGAAATTTGATCATTTCACATTGTTTGCTATCTGTGCTATTTTGGGTAGAATCTGCAAAGAAAAGGAAATAATTTCCTTTCATAACCAACAGAAGAGCATACTATATATCAACATCTAGTAACTTTTTTTTTGTTAGACTTTGGATTTCTGCATACTTCTTGGTGTCCAAGTTTTAGAATATCCAAAGCCAAAACATCAGGTTTTGTATAAAAGAGGGGGTGGCCATGTTATTGTTGTCATTGTTGTTGTTTTGGTCGCTGAGTCATGTCCAACTCTTTGTGACTCCATGGACTATAGCCCGCCAGGCTCCTCTGTTCGTGGGATTTCTCAGGCAAGAACACTGGACTGGGTTGCCATTTCCTTCTCCGGGGGGTCATGTTACAGAGATCTTTCATAAATTGAAACCAATAGAATTTGGGGGAATATAGAGTATAAGGATTTGAAATATATCATGAGAGTGGGGTGGGAAGGAAGAAGCAGAGGAAAGCCAAAAGCGGGGGCAAGGAGGAAATCGATCCACTTCAGCAAAAACGTTTAAGAGCCTTAAATTCTAAGGAATGTATTGAATTCACTGCACAGCAACGTGAAGTGTTTGCGGGAATGGAGTTCTAATTGGACACACTCTACGGGATTTCTAGGGATTAAGGTTGAGAAAACTTGAACACAACATGGGTCTAGATATTATCAATGCACTAAAATAAGAAAATGACTACAGGTGAGAGGGAACAATCAATTCTGAGCCCACTTGGAGAGACAGAGGAAGACGAGACAATGGCTTCAGTTCTTTCCATTCGTGAAAGCTCTCATCCCTCCCACATGTCCGGATGGGATTTAAATTCCGAGCAGCTTGGGCTGTGGTAAGCCAGCCACATTAAGCAGGGGACGGAGAACAAACTCCCTTTAGGCCAGTCACCTGTGAGGCTGGTGGTAAATTACTTTCCTCTCAGAACGTGTTGGTAACTTCAAAGCACCAAGGACTAAAAGTGTTGCAGAGTCTGTGTGTGTGTGTGTGTGTGTGTGTGAAAGAGAGAGAGAAAGAGAGGAGAGAGAGACCAATGAAACGGACGAGCAGGAGAGAGAAGAGAGAGAAGAAAGTTGTTATGAGGAGTGAAATTGAAGAAAGAGTTCCCTTAGGAACATCCATATATTCACATATTAAGGAACATATGTAAAACTGTATAAATGGAACCTAAGTATCTCTAGCTGTGTAATTAACCCCCCCCCCCCACACACACACTACTGTGTATACCTGTGTATGTGTGCTTGTGAATGCATTTTATTGCTATCGTTTTTTGGTAAGGAAAAGGAAATGAGCGTTGTTTCACCAGTGATATCATTGAAAGTGCAGCCCCAGGCCCCAAGCCTCCTGACTCCACCAATTAGCCTTGTTTAGCTTTTCATTACCCCCACTGCTTGACCTGCTTCCATGCATAATAGGGTTAATTGTAATGAGATGAAATCTTCTGGTTCTGTCATTGCTTATGCAGCACGTCCTCCAGACTTCCTCCTGACTGAGGGCGTCAGGGAGTGCGGCTCGTCTGCTCCGCTGGGCTCCCTCTGTTGGCGTCTCCGAGGGGCGGGAAGACCACTGGCTCACACGGAAGCAAGGACTGTTCGGGAAGGTGCGGATACACCCCCCACACACCCCTAGACAAACAGTGCCAGTGAAGGGAGAGTTAGCTCTGTACCCTTTGGACACTGACCACAGAAGCGCCACCCGCATAACATGTTCTACCCAGAACGCCGTGATCCCTGGGGTATAAAAGCCTGGGGTAGGGGTGGGGGCCGGGGGGCTGGAGGCGGAGATGCCAGCTATGATAGAGCCAAGGCTTGGTTAGAAGCATACAAGTCCCACCTCATGAGTTTATTTCATCTCCTCTGCTTGCTGCTGTCTGCTGGTTCCTAAAGGGGAGGCGGAAGGGGGCGGTGCTTTATCCTGTGAGTGTCCCCCAGCATGAGCGCAATTTGGTACACATAAATTGGTCCTATTTCTTTCCACATGTGGACCTGGGCCTGAGACTGGGTCATGGAATTAGTTAAAAGATGTGTCTGCTTCTTAGAATCGCTCGATTCACGGGAATATATGGTTATTTATACAAAATGCATCAAGTGAAAACTGCTGAGTTGATTTTTCAAAATGAGTTAGAAAATTTAATAGAAAAAATTTAGGGAGAATTTTGAAAATGTATAATATATAAATTTTCATTTAAAAAGACATTCCATTTAGTAATAAAACTGGTTCAACAGCTACTTAAACTTCTAAGTATATTTTAGCTACAAATCTAGACATTAGGAAAAATCAGGCAACTATGGAAGGTTTCCATAAATGGATGGATTACGTTAACCTAACATAAAGTGTGTTTTTGTCTTGAAGTCAGGAAAAACTGCCTTTTTCTCTGAGGTACACAAAATAAGTTTTTGCCCTTTGTGGAAAGATTAACAGAGTTAAATCTTAGCTTCAGACTTGGAACCATTAGGAGATTTTTAAAAAAGAAGAAGAAGAAAATGAAGGAAGGAAAGAAAAGCATGGAATAGAAGCGTCCTGTCTAATGTATAAATCAGTCTAAATTTTTAATGAAGTTTCCTAATATACTTGATCATATGGCATACAATTTAAATATACACCTCCTTACTCAAGGAGTTTCTTAGGGAAAAAAAACACACAACCAAAAAAGATAAAGAGAATAAAAGAAATGAGTCTATAAAAATCTGAATAAATAGGAATTTATACTTTATTTAATGCCAATCTGCTCCAAATTTTATGTTTGTTATGTGTATTCGCATACATGTCTGGCATCGGCATTTAATGAATTGTTTTGGTATCGAAATATACTCTCTTGCCATTCAAATTCATGCAGACTCTACTTGTCCTTCAAAAAGGAAAACATCCTGTTTTGGTTAATGGGCTTAAAAAAAAACAACAAAAGTAAATTGTGATAGCAATTAGGTTTCTCAGTGAGCATGCTCAGTGGGTCTCTCCTGGTTGCTAGGCAACCGGCTGAAGGTGTGTGGCAAGAGAGGACCCCAAATGTAAAAGCATAAGCACCTTTGGCATAGGTTTCACCTAGTCTAGAAGCCCAAGCTCATTTATTTAATAAATGGTGGGATATCCTTGGGTCACTTTGATGGCTTCCCTTTTCGCATTTTTGGGGATAGGATTGAGGGTCAGGAAAGGATAGAGTGGAGGATCCAGCGGAATGGGCTCAAGAATCATAGTGAATGTTTCCCGAAAAAGCCCTGTGCTTGACTTGGGTTGCAGGTTTGGAGTGTGTGTGTGTGACAATTTATTTTCCATCTCGAGGGTCGCAGTTAGCTCTAAACCCCTTGGGCTGCCTGGTTGGTACCTCCCAGGCACAATTCGAATCCCGTCTCGCATCAGCCTAACCCTGTCCATTGGACCTTTATGTCTTTCAGATAAAGCCACTTTCACATCCTCAAGTCATAGAGCAGAAAGCTCCCAGTTAAACCACAGCGTTCCATTAAAAGTTGCCACCCGTATTCAAAAGCCCATTTGTATACCCTGGGGTTCCACCGAAGAAGCTCTTACAGTTCAGAGACCGGTGCCGTGAAGTAAAAATGAATCAACTTTTAGAAACCACACAGAATGCTCCATCTTTGGTAAGTATAGCCCTGTCTCCATCAGCACCTCTTAAGTAGCAACACGACCAAACACCTGGTTCGGTCCACAGTGACAGTTCACTGTCTCTCCGGTGGTAACAATTTAGAGGCATGATGCTAAACAAGATATATACATGATGTCAAATATTGGCTGCACACATCTAAGCCAATCACTTCTAAATAAATTAACCATGGCACTGCCTAATACGATCCACCTGCTTTCTTCCCTCCGTTGTTCCAGACCCTACCTGAACCCCCCTTTGATTAAATGTCAAAAGCTTGCCTTGTGCCTACAGATTTCACTGAAGGCGGATAACAGAAAGGTTCCTCCTGTGACTCCATAAAACTGAAATAAATTCCACTGGCATCTTGTAAATTTTTATTTTCTAGAATGACTGCAGGCCCCATCTGCGGCCCAGCTGTTATTAGAACGGAAAGCGTTGGCCCTTCTGCATTACAAAACAGCATAGAACAGTAATTGCCAGTGGAAGAGATTAAGTGTAGACACTAAAAATGTTTACTCGCAATGAATATGCATAACGATGGGTAGGAAACAGCACTGGAAGATTAAAAAGAGAGAAGGGTTTGTTTACAAGGCTGGGAAAAAAAAAGAGAGTGGAATGTCATTTGGCCCCGAGCCTGAAATAGGAACGAAAAACCTTTGGGCAAGGCATTAGGGAGAAAAACAGATGGTTTGTGAACCTTTTATTAGATAGAAAAATCATTAATCAAGCCCAGGCTGGAAATGGCAGGGTTTTTGGTAGTTCATATTTTAGTTTATTTTTTCTTAAAGTGACAGTATACTTTTTTTTTTTTGGTCTTTTTGGGACAGTCATCTATGGATCTTATGTCAATAGGCACTGCTTTTGTACAACATTCCACATTAAAGCCAACTTCATGTTAGGTTAGTGTGAGCCCTGATTTGTTATATGGAGAAAATTCCTCCAAAGGGTTTCACATTTCAGCACCTGTTTTGCCTGTATAGCAATTAAAAAAAAATTACAGCATGAATTTTTTTTTTTTTCATTCATGTTCCATTCCTTTGGTTTCTGAAACTTGGGAAGAAAATAGAGAAGGGGAAACTTTTGCATGTAAGGCCTTGCTGACTAGGTTGATTTATAGCAGTTTATGCAAAATACGTAATAACAATAATTACAAATTGATTCATCTCCTGAGAGGGAGTTCACACCATTTCATTGGAAAAAGTCATCAAGAGAGTGGAAGGGTCCCCTTTGAAACTGTACTCACCATAAAATTAATCTGTGCCCTTTGGGCTGGAAGAGGCTGCATTTTACTTTTTTTTTTTTAAATAATGGTAGTGAAAATCTCAGGGAAGGACATGTCATTGAGATTAACAAAACCCTGGAATTAATGGTACAGAGTCCATCATCTGCTACTAGCCAGTCACAAAATCTTAAGAAGTACCCTATGGTGGAGAATTATTGTTTAAATGAAATCCATGTAACAGTCAAATACTCTCATTAATATACACTGTATTTATGTATACAACTATATATGCAAACAGACACTTGGGTGTGTATTATGTGTTCAAGGTTTGAAATGTGATTGCTGTATCAACTTCTGGAGTGGGATGGCAGGGTAGGGCAATATCAGAATAAGGATGCCTATAGCCAGACCCAGAATAAATCTTCATATCACAGTCCTGGAGTTATGCCATGGTCTACCATGTACTTGGAGCTAGTAGTGCATTTCTATTTGGTTGGCCAAAGAGCTTGTTCACATTTTTCCATGCCATCTTATGGTAAAACCCAAACAAACTTTTTGGCCCATCCTATTCTGGGAAGCTCCTCTCTGACGCCCCCCCCCCCCCCATGTTTACTTATTTAGCTGTGCTGGGTCTTAGCTGTGCCAAGTGAAATCTAGTTTCCCTCATCAGGGATGGAACCTGGGCCCTCTGCATTGGTAGCATAGTCTTAGCCACTACACCTCCAGTGGAGTCCCTGGAAAGCTACTCTTCAGCTTAACTATGAAATGTGCTTGTTCCTGCTTTGTGTATTTCCTACTGAATGGGGGCTTGGATTCATCTGGATTGTTACTCTTAGACCTAAGTATCCTTGATGCAGGAGTCCATGAATGGGCAGTGGGACAATTTCTTTTTAAGGAATGAGAAGGTACTTCAAAAGTATCTCATTCATGGTTTCACTCTCCTAGTAGAAAGCAGTTTCAACAACTTTATTCACTAGTAAATATCAGCAACTCATAGGGCAATCATTCTTTGGCAAAGCATGCTCATAGATAAGCCACTGGTTTCCTTCCCTTATTTCCCATGAGACGAATTTTGGAAGTCAAGGCCAAAGAACAGCTGCTACATCATGTAAATTGTCCTCTGGTCCTCACCTATCTTCAGTATCAAGGAAACGAGACCCGGTGAAATGTCACATGAAAACAAGGAGAAGCATAGATTCTCAGACTGCCGGTCTCTGTTGTGACGTCATTACTGTGCGCCTGCTCCGATCATCCTCCTGACCATCTGAGCTGAGTTTCTTCCCTTTCCTTTGCCACACGTTTCCTTCACGGACCTACTTACCTTCGTCATTGTGAATAAAGAGCGCCAATGAGAAGGGAGCTCAGCAGCGCCTTTCTGCACAGATTCTCAGTCAACGCCAACCTACTACCTCCGCGTCCTGGGCTGACATTACAGAAACAGAAGTTCAAAGACATGGCTGATATCCTCCTTTTAAAAACACTTCAACGATGCAGTCAGCGATTTCTGTTTTCTGACATTCTTTTTCAAAAGAGATGCTTAAAGCAAAAAAGGTTTCCTGCCACGAAAATGACATTAATATTTCGTAAATCAAGAACGAAGATAATGTTTTGGCTGCTGCAGAGACGTTTACCTTATGTCGTTTATCTAAATGCTTTTCGATTCAAACATGACACAATTTTTGGACTGGCTGTAACCGGAAAAAACAATTCCAAGAACTTTCTTATTTCAGAGCCTGAAATTCTTTAGTATATTCCTCACCAGAATTCACTGTGGAGGATACTGCCTTTCAGCTCATTGAAAAAGACTTCCCAAATAATAAATCTTTCCCCGCGATCATTTGTAAGCACTAAATCAAATAATTTACTAAAGTCAAGACGAGACTTTCAAATGAAAACTGTGTAAACATGTTTGTTAACTTTTGAGTTAACTGCATTTTTACCAGGGATAAACTATTTTCTGTATTGACTTATTAAAGAACTGATATGTTTAAAGAACAGACATTTTGTCTAAAGAAGTGAAAAAAGAAAATGTTTATAGATAATAAAGCCCTATCAAATGAACCTCTATCTGCTGGTGGAATTACTAAAATCACAAAAGCAATCATGAATTTCAAAGCTTTTCACCTATTTGAAAAGTGTTAGGAGGATTGAGGTATTGGAGGCTGTGCCATAGGGTAAAAATATGATGTTCTGGTATTATAGACAAACACTGTCGATTTTTTTCTTATGAGTTGCTAAAAACAAGCATTTTATCTCTGACTCTTTATCATATTTTATCTATGGTTAATGAAATTTTTTTTTCCTTCTAAAACCTTAAGGGTTTTACCAATTGATTTTGACACATTTAGATTTGGGGAAGGAAAACACACTTACAGAGCAGCTATTTCAAAACATCGAGGAGAATAACAGTTGCAAAAAGACAAAAAAAAAAAAAAAAGGCATTAAGGTTCTGCCATAAACCATTCAACAGCAAACGGAAGACTACAATTAAGGCCAAGCTGCTTCTCCAGGGAATGCTGAAGAACAGTTTCTTTTCCGACTGTGGATAGGATTGAAGACCTGCCCACAGAGTCCCCAAGTCCTGGACTAATAGCTTCCTGCAGGAGATGAGCCCCCTTGAAGCTGTGAGGGGCCGAAGGCGGCTGTGGCTGCCGGGAGGAGGGAGAGGGCCAGGGTCTGGAAAAAGAAGGCACCACGGTCGTTGGAGGAAGGGTAGCTAGGATGGCTATGCTTTTGCTGTAGCACGTCATTAATAACGATGATCAGAAGAAAGAGGAGATCTTAACAGTTGCACTAAATTATTAAGGAAATTGGCATTTTCAAATGGATTCAGGGTGAAACAAAAACAAAAGAGCAGCTATGGATGGGATGGGTCACGTTGGGAGGCCACAGAATAGTTCACAGAGGTGGAGGAACTGTGATCGAGCAGATCCTTCTCTTCTTTGGCTTTTCCTTACATTGATAGAATTTACAGAAAAGATGGTCTTCCCCACAGCAACTGAATGAAGAAAGCTGCTTCAATGAGACTGTGTTCTCTGGAAGACATAGGAGATAGTCAATACTATAAAACTATGTAAATTTCCTAATTAGAAGACCTGGATGAGATACTGCAGCAATTTATAACTTTAACAATAATTAAATATTGCTAAACTCTAGTTTTGAAATAAAGAATTTTTTCAGAGAAGCAAAAGATTTTGACACAATCTGACTTCGATGTAAATATTCTGTATTAATAATAAAAAAAAATAAAGTACACTCGAGGAGCTGCTCTGTCCTATCCCAAAAAAAGGAAATGATAAGAAAAAGTAATTTGGAGTTGCAGGACATTGGAATCTTTGATTTTCAAGGTGTTTTCTAAGTCCTGTACTT